GAACTAAACTTTCAGAATGAAATATTGGAGATGTGACATATCCAGGAGGAAAGATTGCAGATATGAGATGGGGCAGAGTGGGTGATGGTGGTAGTGGAGAGTTAGACTTGGGAGTCACTGGCAAAGAGATAGTAGCTGAAACTATTGGGACAGATGAGGTCACTCAAAGAAAAAGCAAAGAGGCAGAAGAGAAGGGGAATGAGAACAGAGCCTGAATCTTCAGGGATGTCAATAAACAGAGGGAGAGAAGAGGAAAAGAAGCTACTAGGGGAGACACTGAGGGAGTGCACAGAGATAGGAGGAGCAGTAGGACTGAACTGAGAAGCAGATGTCCCAGAGGAAGAAGCAGTAGTGATTGACTGTTACAAGCAGCAGAAGACAGAGGAGGAGAAAAGAAAGGAGAGCCTGAAGATTATTAAAAGAGCTAAATCAGCAGTTTCAATGGAGGAGACAGGCCAGAAGCTGGCTTGCATGGCATACAAGAGAATTAGAGCAGATGACGTCAAGGCAGCTGGAACTGGTGGCACATTCAAGTTGCTTGGAGGCAAAGGATAGAAGTGAGACAGAGTCACAGAGAGGTTTCTATAGGCTCATATTCAAAAGCTGAGGGAAAGCAATTAAATGTTAATGGGGATGAGAACTGTCCCTTTTTCAAAGACAGCCTGGCCCAGGACCGCAGGTTCAGGAGAATCAGCCCTCACTCACTGACAAACCAGCTGGCACTGGGATGCTGGTACTGGAGGGATCAACCCCAAATTACAGACTGTCCAACTATGGGACAGTGGATTCAGGGAGGAGGAACAGTTTATTTCAGAGAACTCCCATACCCCATCACTCCTCCTACCCGCAGGTAGGACAGCTCTCACCTCAGTACCTGCCCTGACAGGGAGAAGAGTCAGTTTTAATTTGTCCTGGACAAACCTCAAAGGATTCAGTATTTCAGTTCCTTTGGCACCATCCGGAAATTCACATGCTGCTTCTCCAAACTTTGTTGGCTGAACTCATGAGTGGGGTTTCTGGCCGGACTCCCAGCACCTCTTGGTTCCAGCTATGTTAGCATTGCTTTGGGAATCACCTTTCCAGGGGAGGTTGGGATCCCCCACCCCAGCTAACACCCAGAACCACAAAGACAGCCTTGAAAGCTACACACCATAGGCACCGACTCCCAAGGGAAAAAATCAGTGGGTGCTTAGCACCCACTGGCAATAGTGGTGCTGCAGCTCCAATCAGGGATCAGCAGTTCCTGAGCAGCCCCGCCTAGACCAATCAGCTGGTAGGCTACTGCACTAATCAGCTGTTTGGTGGGCTCCCCTGAATGCAGCCCCACTCTGCCTATCAGCTGTTCTGCGCCTTCTGGGCTGGCTGCAGCAGAGGCTGACCCAGTCCTAACTTCAGCCCTCAGTGGGGGGTGGGGACCCTCCTCCAGCAGCCTCAGAGAGCTGCTCCAGCCAGGGTTAGGGAGAAGCATAGGGCTCCCTCTGCTCTGCAGAAGTCCAGCCTCAGCAGCAGCAGTGAGATCTTGCTTACCTGGGTTGGCCCCGGCTCCTACGTAGATCTCCTGGGCAGGCTCCAGCTCCCAGTCGGCTCCAACTGCAGGCAGCACTAGGTGCGTCCAGGCAGAGGTAGCCTGGCTGGGGATGGGTAGGGCCCACTGCAGTGGCGGGAGAGGGGAGGCCACCATGGGCACAATTTGGGGGTGATGGGGCATGCAGAATCACTGCCACTGCCTTTCCACATTTCTGCCAGTGCCAAGCTTGGGGAAGGGTCTGTTCTCAGGGGTGCCATTGGGTGGGGGGACTATCCTGGCCCCCCCGGGATAGTAAAAATCTGGGGGCAAATCTGTCTCTCTCATCCCTCCCTTCTACCCATGCATCATTTATCCAAAAGGCTCATTTGGCACTGAAGTTAAATAGGTGTTAACAAAATCAGACCAAACAGAGTTTTTCAAAGTGTGATTTAAAATCCTTTCCCCTCTCCATTGCTCAATTTTCTGTCTCTTGACTCTTGTGACTCCATGCATCTGAAGAAGTGGTTTTTTTACCCACAAAAGCTTATGCCCAAAAAAATCTGTTAGTCTTTAAGGTGCCACCGGACTCCTTGTTGTTTTTGTGGATACAGACTAACGCGGCTACCCCCTGATACTTGACTCTTGTGATGTTATCATTTCACTAGTTCTCCTGTTATCACAGGCTTTGTCTGGACTAGCATTTGTCCTCCTGTTGTAATTGATTGCTAATTGCTTGTTAAGTGACTGTAAATGCTAATCTAGGTGCAAACATTTGCAGAGTATCAGGACATGGGAGCTCAGCCTGGGCAAACCACAAAACTTTGTGCTACAGAACAAACATTTGTGGAGAGCCTCAGTTATTAATATATCTCCTCAATATATGTTCCATTCTATATGCATCCGAAGAAGTGGGCTGTAGTCCACGAAAGCTTATGCTCTAATAAATTTGTTAGTCTCTAAGGTGCCACAAGTACTCCTATTCTTCTTTTTGCGGATACAGACTAACACGGCTGTTACTCTGAAACCTGTCAGTTATTAACACAATTAACATTTACAATCAATTGGTTCAAATTATAACAGGACCACCAACTCTAGTCTAGATAAAGCCAAAGCATGAGTCCCCCAGGCTAGACAGGACCTGGATTTTTAATATAAACGGAGGCAATATAAATGTATCGTACTCCCCAAAACAAACAAACGTATCAACAAAACAAAAAACACCTAGCACCACAAATCTTCATGCCTTCTTTACACATCAGAAGAAAATCAAACAAAGGCACAGTCTCAGTTATCGCCCCTTTACAGATCACCTTTAAAAATGAAATGATCCTTTACATTCCTAATTCCCCCAAATCAGGGAACTGCCGACTTTGTGGAGCTGAAAGACTGGATTCAGGTGTGAATATTTGTTCCTTTCCACCGTTGCATGTACATATAGAACAGTGCTGGGAGCAGAATGGGTTAGGGTAAGAGAAAGCTAACTGGGGGGGAAAAAGCCCTCAAAAAAAACCTTGTCTTGAAAATAGTGACAGGGTTGGTTTAGTAGTCAAGATTTCTGAGGTCGTTTAAGTGAGATACAGTCCCACTAAAAAAATCATATAACATCCAAATTTACACTTCTTGTAACTTTTTTTTTTTAAACAATACTTGGGGCTCAAACTATGGCTCTGATGCTGGTATTCTCTCAGGATCAATCGTGGATAATTTCCACCACCCACTTCCCTTTTGGGGAAGCAATAATTAAAAAGCTATTCAGGGGCTGGGGTAGAATTTATGGTGCAAATTTAAGTTATTTGATCAAGAGGTTCCCAATATATGTCCTCCTCCTGCATTATGAGCTTCTTTTAATTTTCAAAGTACTCTAAAATCCACATGCATAATGAGATTATCTAGGATATTGGTTTGCCACAACAGGGGCAATGGTGCAAATTTGGAGTGATTTGGTTCAGGCATTCCGCAGATACTGTCCGCCCCAATAAGAAGAAGATTTTAATATTCCAGTTGCTCTAAAACTGACAAGCAGAGTGAGATTACCTTGAACAATGGTATTCCACAACTGAAACTGAGGTAGAAGGGAAGTCCCATTGAGATGAATGGGTCATTTCACACCACCCAGAGCTTTGTGTTAGACCAGAGGTCAGCAACCTTTCAGAAGTGGGGTGCCGAGTCTTCATTTATTCACTCTAATTTAAGGTTTCGCGTGCCAGTAATACATTTTAACATTTTTAGAAGGTCTCTTTCTATAAGTCTATAATATAGAACTAAACTTTTGTTGTATGTAAAGTAAATACAGTTTTTAAAATGTTTAAGAAGCTTCATTTAAAATTAAATTAAAATGCAGAGCCCCCCGGACGGGGGGCCAGGACCTGGCCAGCGTGAGCGCCACTGAAAATCAGCTCACGTGCTGTCTTTGGCACGCGTGCCATAGGTTGCCTACCCCTGTGTTAGACTATTCATCTCTTTGGAGCACCCTAATTCATCTGAGCACACCCCACTGAGGTGAATGGGCCATTCCACACATCAACAGTACTCCGGAACTGCAGAGGGCTGTGCAGAGCCCATTCCTTTACACTAGGTCCCTGAAGTAAATACAAAGTCTGGGGCTCCCTGCTATTCCTCTTGCTGCCTCCAGCTGGTAGATGTGTTCCTAAAGTGGCAGATCATTCCCTGCCCACAGGTGCCCTCCAATCATGCCCCCTCACTAACACCTCTTCCTCAAGAAACAAAGAAAATAACTGCCCAAAAATATGGTTAATTCAGGCCTTGTTTACACTAAAGCGCCTTTGCCAGTATAGCTATGCCAGCTAGACTCACCCCTGCTTAGTACCTTCTTCAACTCAAGAAGTGTGGTTTAGATTCTTGCTGGCACTGCCAGTCTGACGTGCCTTCTCTGGCTTGTCAGATTGGGTTTATATCCGCTGGTGAACCACAGCGCCACTCAGACTGCTTCCCAGGCTGGTGAACCACCTGTGGTTCATTAATTTTATACCAGTGTAACTCCACTGATTCCATTGGGGTTGTTCCTGATTTACAATACTACAAGTGAGGACAGAATCAGGCATAGACACTGACTCCATGGGTGCTCTAGGGCTCAAGCACCCATGGGAAAAAAATAGTAGGGATGGTTCAGCACCCACCAACCACAGCTGTTCGGCAGCGAGCTGGCATGAGGCTTGGGGGGAGAGGACAGAGCAAGGGGCAGGAAGAGGTGGCATGAGGGCGGGGCCTCGAGGGAGGGGGCGGAGCAGGGACAGGAAGAGGTGGAGTGAGGGTGGGGCCTCGAGGGAAGAGATGGAGTGGGGTGGGGCCTTCAAGCGGAGCACCTACCAGGAAAAATAAAAGTCAGCACCTATGCTAAACGTAACTTCTCAGCCCTCAGGAGGCTCTTGGATTCTATCTGTGCTTATTTGAGTAACCCTTGGCTTTGACATAATTTTAGCCACACCCTTGTCCTAATATAGCTAGGTGACGTGTCACCACCCAGCATACTTACCGTTGGCACAGAGCAATGGCTGGCCCAAACTGGGGCTGCAGTCAACACAGCAGTCCTCTGCTCGGTGTCGATTCTGGATCTGGAAGGTGATGCTTCTGCTTCCTGTCACAGCTTCAAAACCTGCTACCACCTCAGACTCCTCCAGGGGGTAGATGAACACACCTATAGGGGGCAGCAGAAAAAGAATTCTGAGGCTGAGACCTGAAGAGCTACCAGATGGAAACCAGCCTGACTCAGAATAGATTCCAACCTTAGGCTCAACATTCCCAGCCTGCACTACGTGATGTACATCTCTACCCCGATATAACGCGACCCGATATAACACGAATTCGGATATAACGCGGTAAAGCAGTGCTCTGGGGGGGGGGGGGGAGGAGCTGCGCACTTCGGCGGATCAAAGCAAGTTCGATATAACGCAGTTTCACCTATAACGCGGTAAGATATTTTGGCTCCCGAGGACAGCGTTATATCGGGGTAGAGGTGTGTTAGCTCTTCACCACAAATTCTGCTTTAGTGCTGGTGAAAGGTCCTGGAGAGCATGCACCTCCATTTATCCTCAGTGCAACTACAGCACAGGCAATTGCAACATCAGCTTCTCCCATGTTCCACATCCCCTAACATGTCTTATCTCTGCCCTGAAGGCAACCCCTCTATGTTGGAGAGAAGAATTCAGACTCAGTTTGTTTATTCGGTCCATAGCTTCTCTGTTGAGACTCCCAGCAAGGGGGGCAAATCTGATGGTGGTTTTTGTGATCTGGTAATTGGACTGAGACTCACTAACTCACTTCACCTCCTAAACCGCTGAACAGCCATCACATGGAAACGACTTTTGGTCACTACTCCCAACGTGGACAGAATAGAGCAGTTGACCTAGTGATGCAAGGTTTTATATCCCAGTTCCAGTCCCCTCTGAGCGAGCCAGTCCTCCAACAAGGGATTTTTAACCTTCAGGATGCAGTAAGGCAACTAGGAAACTGCTCTAGATCCATTTTAGTATCTACTTAATGCACCAGAGGGTGCCTAGCTATTTAAATGCACAACAGCCTGGCTATTTGTCGCCTTGCTGAAAGGTGACTGGATCAGTGCCTCCTGGATGCAAACCACCCCAGATTCACCTATGATATGATCAGGGAGAAGGAAAGCCCAGTGCTTCCACCTCTTCTTACTCATGGGCTGTACTGGATTTGGGAAGGATCCTTCTGCCAATCTAGCATTCATATCCTGGCTCAAGCATGTGTATTCCGCTGCCTCCTACGGGAACATGCTGGGTTTGGTTCTGCCTATATCAGTTCCCTATACTGACTATCCTGGTGGGTCTCCTCCTTTAGGTCACTAAGTAGAGGCAAGAGTTCAAGAGACCAAGGATGAACAGGTAGAGGAGGGTGGGTGCAGCACGGCTCCACACCAAGATAGGCCAGACCTGCTCCTATATCCCAGCAATCTGCTAGTTAAGTAGGTGCAACTTATTCTTTAGCTCTAGATAGATGCATCTTACCTTCTACAGGATCCTCCCCTGAGTTGATGTAAGTGAGGTGAGCAGTGACTCCCAGGGAGTACCCATTGGCACAGGCCTTTACGCATGAGCTCTTCAGAGGGAGAGCTGTCCAGGTAGCTAGAGAATACAAGCCTGGCATGGTCTCTAGGCACAGCTACCAGGTCCTGCCAGCTGGGGCTATAGAGAGAAGGTGAAACAACACAAGCAAGCATTGAAGTTTGGAGGCAAGGAGAGGTCAGACTGAATGCTGTCTTTAACTACCAGGGGAGGTTCAGAAGTCTGTAAAGAAGTGGAGTTAATAAGTCAACCGCAAGATTAGAATATTGCACAATGAAGCTGGTGATTTTACAATATTCTTCCTTCCTCAATTCCTCCACCCTCCCTCTCTCTGCTCCTTGGGTTTCCATGATGCTTTGCTCTCCTGGATCTTCTCATCTTTCCTCTCAAACTCTCTCCTCTGCCCCCTTTCTCCGTCACCCTTGACAATTCCACTATCTTCCCAATCACTCAAGTGTACAGCCTTGGGGTACCATTCAACTCCTTTCTCCCCTTCTCTCCTCACATCTCCGTTCTAATCAGGTCTTGTTACTTTGCAACTTTTCTACTGTCCTTTCATCTCCATCCCAACCTTCATCTAAAACCCTCACCTGGGCCTTGGTCCTCTCTCACCTCAGCTATTCAATCTTCTCCTCTCCAGCTTCCCTGAATCTCATCTTGCTCCCCTCCAATCTATCTAAAGTGCAATACCAAATTCTCCTATCACACTTCTCTGACCATTCCACTCCACCTCTGAACCCCCTCCCTGACTTCCCCTAGCCTGCTGTATTACATACTTCTCATCCATCATCCTCACCTTTAGGATCATGTATATGTTTCTGCCTTCATTTCTCCTGCTCTCTCCTTTGCTCCTGCTACGGCACTACCCTAATTTTCCTCTCTGTATCCTTCCTCCATGCCCACCTTCATGCCTTCTCCATGCCATTACGCTCTTATACTTGGAACAAGCTCGCTCTGCTGATGCACCAAACCACCTCCTTCTCTGCTTTCAAATCCCTCTTCACAACATTTTTTCTGGCAAGCCTTCCAATAATGAGTATTGCACAATTCCTCCAGCACTTCAAGCTCACACCAGCACTCACTAGAGTGGGATCTCTGAACTCTTCATTGTCTGCATCTAGACTTTATTGCAAGACTGGGCCTTCTTATGTTTTGTATAGGGCTGAGCATACAGCTGGGTCTCGAAAACCAATCCTTGGTAGGGACCCGAGGAAGGTAGCATCATGCTGCCAGGCTGAGCAGCCACTCCGGGAGTGCTCACTGGCCACAACAGCAGCAGAATTAAATGAGCCCACAAGCTAAGCAGGGCAAGGACTTCCTCAGCCCCTGTATTTAATGGAATTTAAGAGAAAAATCCCCGTTTCTGTGGCCCTTTGGAATGGATTTGACTGGGAGGAAAAGAGCAACACAAGGACTGATTCTAAGCATGGTTGGGATCAAACAGCCATGCGCTTGCTCTCTGTTTATTTTTCCATGTCAGCAGCAGCTGAGCACTCAGCCTACACTTTCCAGTGAAACCAGTACTAGCTGCTAAGATCTCCAGAGGGGGCCTATATGGACACTGAAGGCAAAAGAAGATTCGTCCCAGACTATGCTCCATGCTCTCTTCTGCTGTCTTTAGGGACCGGACATCAGGAGACACCAAACCATGCTTCAGCCTCAAAGCACAGGCCGTATCTGCTGTTCCCATCCCTGTCAGCCACCCACAAAGGTTACCAGGGTAATTGATAAACAAGTGAAGGGAAAAAACACAGAGTAGCTAGGACAAAACAGAGACTGGAGTCTCTGTTTGTTGGGGGATTAATAATTAACAACAAAGTCAACACTAAATCTGAGACAACATAGCGGGGAAGGAATTGTGGGAGGATGCATCCCTCCGACAGCTGGGATCTCAGCAATGCCCTCAGGCAGATCATGCAGAGTCCACTTCTGGCCACAGTAGCTCCCAGGCTATGCCTACCTTCTACCTGTGGTCACTTACCCTGAGAAAAGTCCATGAATGATCCCAAAAGGTCAGGACACCAGCCCATCCCTGAGGCCATCAAACTTTCCCACCCCATTCCTACTTCCAGTTCCCCATATCAACTCAGAGACTTTTCCAAAACTATTGTTCTGGACAAAGGATATTCCTGATCGAGAAGTGAAATGTAACGTTATTTCCACAACGTGCCTCAAGACTCACATGGAGGGACTGCCTGAACCAACAGGCCTCACTGCTTACGTGAGGGGGCTGGCTGTTTGGCCCCTCTTCCACCAATATCCCTCATCCCTTCACAGGAAGAGATTGCATAATCCTGGAATAAGAAAAGGATTCTGGCTCAGTGTCCAGCCAGAGCTGAGCTTCTTTGCAGTTGTAAGTGAATGGATCCCCAAACTGGTCAAATCAATGTATTTCCATAAAACATTCGGATATGCCGTAATGCATCTTCCCTGCAGAGAGATTCCTTAGATCCTTCTTCTCCAGACACATGCAGTATTTAGTCTGTGCCCAGCCAGCTTACTACCTACCTCACCTCAACTCCCACTCTTGATTCACCCGGATGCATAATGGATAGAGACATCCCAGCATCACTAACGTGTGCTATAGATTTAGCTGCTCTGAGTGCAATAGGCTAAGAGAAAAGGGCAAGGCCAGATGGAAACAAAGCAGCTGGTTTCATCTCACTCCAGTGTCCTTCATCTCAGGAATAGCAGGCTTATGAGACAGACTGTAATTTAAGATTCCATGTACCCACAATTTATGGGTCAAGGATGCATCTGTTTGGAGCACCTTACGCCACTTGGAAAATGGAGACACTGAAGTGGAGGAGTGATAAACCCAAAACAAGTCTGAGGAGACAGAGCTGTGATCAAATCAATCACTGTTAAGAGAGCAGTGGCTACAAAGGATGGGGACGATGTCCCGGAACTTTACAGACGAGCATTAGAAAGTACGTACAACCCAGGAAAACATAGATTATCTCAGATTGCCATTACCATGCCATCCACCTACACATCCCATAAAATGTAATTACCAGACAACTTAGATTAGTGCACAGATCCTAGGAGGCTGGGGAGTGTGAATCTTGGTAGTAATCCAGCCCTGGGCGTGGACCCTGCTGCATTTAGGAGCTGGAGTGTGATTCCTAACACTAGAGTCCCGGGGTGAAATCCTGGCTCTGTTCAAGTCAATATCAAAAGTCCTATTAACTTGAACAGAGCCAGGATTTCACCCTGATGTACAGGTTCTCTTGGGCTCAGGAGCTGGGAGTTTGAGTCCTGACACTATTGTGGTGCTGTAGTTCTGGGTGTCATTAAAACTGCTCTGAGGATGATCACAGCAGGTTAGCATTAGAGCTCTGGTGGGGTTCTAGAGCACAGTCGTCCTAATAGGGAACTGCCAGAGGGACACTCCCACTGCTCAAAGTGCCAGCTGGCATTGGGAAGCCAAGCTCATGTACATCTGATCTGATCATGCCCTCACTAGGACCCCTTGAGCATAAGCAAAGGGAAAAGAAGGCATCAAGCAAACCATAGGAAGCTGTGGGGGGCTCAGACCTCAGAGCCACTCCACGAGTTCCCAAGACAGTGTGCTTAATGCGCAACCAGTGAGCCCGCTATTTGCCAGGCCCCTGATTGGCCAGAGCTCCATTTAGCTGTTTACCAGGGACTTACCACAGAGGCTGTACTGGCTGCTTTTTATCACAGTCTTTACGTTTATTCTACCAAAGTAAACAAGTCCCATCTGGCCCTCTCATGTTTTATGTAGGTTGCAGTGAGCCAGTTGGTAATGAATAAAAACAGATCCACAGGTCCTCACTCTGTGCCCCTCCTCCTCCTATTCCCCCATTGGGAAGCAAATGGTCTGTGGCAGTGACTGCAAAGACTGTGGGTTCCTACTGCTCTCCCCACAGCATCTCCTGCAAGACAGGTCAGGTCCCCTCACCTGAGCAAGGTGCCAGCCCCTTTCTCTTATTCTGGATTGCCTATCAAACGGTACAGAGGGAAGCATAACTTGCTAGCTCTTTCTGTCTCCTACCCCACTCCTGCTTGTCACTTCTACCTAAGGGAGCTATTGTTAATAACTATTTCAGCTGGCAGGGGAAAGAGAATCGTAATTTAAAGAGCCAGCATCCCTCCTATGGATCAACTGATTCAGAATCCAGGGGAATAAGCTGTGTGTTGGGAAACAGCCAGGGAAGGTGAGTGGTTGACAGCATCTGTAGTAGATATTGAGAGAAGGGTCAAATCCAGGCCTAGTGTAAGGAAGTGGAAATCCACTGAAGACAATAAGAGTTAAATCTACTTAAACCAGATATGACTTTGGCCCAGAGTGTCTGTGAGATCAGGCAATGATAATGAAGTATAAGATACTCTAGCTTCTTTCATCCACGGATCTCAGAACTTTCATTTAAACATTGATTAAGACTCACAATATTCCTGAGAGTTTATTCCTACTGTATTTTAAAAAAATAAATAATAACCTAACATTTCTGTTGCTCCCTTTCACCTTAATGAATCCCAAAGCACTTGCCTGACTGTATTCTAGCTGGAGTGATGGGAATAGTTAAGGATGCTCAAGTGCTTAGAGTCTGAAGGGTCATTTTCAGAAGCTTGTAACTGTGTCAAACTTGTGCATGTTCTGCTGAAATTCAGCATGTATATTTCTGTCTAATTTTCCCAAGTTTAATGGTTTTGCATATTCAATGGGGTTTTTTTTAATATGATAAAGCTAACAATCTGCCATGCTTCATTTACACTACACACAGGTACATAGGCAAACCCAGTGGAATCTTCCACTGAAAAGGTGATGTCATAACATTACAGTGGACTTGCACATGCATGTGTAAGAAAGTAAGAAAGTAAAGCAGGAAATCAATGTTAAGGCCATGGTGTGTGGGGGATATTGTCTGTGATGGTGCATGTAGAGTGAAGCCAGGGCTTCTATCTCATTGATTGCACATATTAGACAGGACAGAGCTTTCTAACACTGTACACAATACAGGGGGTTTGTTCATTGTAAAAATGTAGGAAATTTCAAACAAAAGGGTTTGATCTTAAGCTGGTGAAAATCAGGGCAGCATGCCAATTTACGTCAGCATGCCAATTTACCATACTCTTTAATTACATGATCATGATTACTTCCCCACAGACCTAGCCACATTTAATGACCAGGCTGGACATGGAATGAGGCAGGAGTAAAGAGGACCCAAACTTCATTCGCTGCTGAAGTTTTATAGCATGTAACAAATTAATTCAGGACCACTGCCTAACTCATTGTCGGAGTCGGAGGATGAGCAGTGTATGGGCCCAGAGGCCATAAACTGAATGAAGAGGATAAGAATAAATATTGCACAGCTGCCTCGTTCACTGAGCAACAGCCATCTAGCACACGGTGTGAGGCAGGGATCCTGCAGAAAAGCTATATGTATAATTACAGATTATCATAAGGCACATACACAAAGAAGCAGGGCTAAAGTTGTGCAGGCAGCCAGACTTTGAATGCTTCACTTTGCAACCTTAACACACTTTAGGATACATCAGGTGCTGGAACAATGTGTATTGTGGGGATGCTGAGAGCCATTGAACCAAACTGTAAACCCTGAATATGATGGAAACCACTTCAAGCCAGGAGGTGCGGCAGCACCCCTAGTTCCCGCACCTATGGGATATATAAAAAGTCCTAAACTCAGCTGTGATAGCAGTCCCAACCCTGGGGTGGAATGTAACCACTGTTTAACAGTGTCCAGTGGCAATGCAGAGTAGTTTAGGGCAGGACATGAACAGAGTGTTGTGTCCAACTGCCTCTGCAGGGGCAATGTGGGGAGACAGAATGTAATCATCCATGCTGGAAGTTAGCCAGTCAAACCCCAACTCATGTAAAGCCAGCCACGGGATCCTTATTGAACACAAGTGGTTAGGACTTTGGTTTTACTCCTCAGCCAAAAGACAGAACCTCCAGCAGCACCGCACCTACTGCCATTAACTTTGCCTGAAGAAACAACTCCAGATTGTTCCCTCCGGTCAACTTTCTACTACTAGTTTGCTGTCTCCTTTTTATTGGTGTTGTCTCTTACTCAAGATCCAGAAGGTTAAAAGCTATGCTGACCCACCAGAGGGGATCCTACAGTTCTGAGCATGTGTGCCAATATTGGGGTGCACGTGGAGAGTGAATTTCCTTCAAAGCTCAGAATAGGGACCCCCAGGTCTAGCATGGGCGCAGTGGATTCTCTTGTCCCTAATGAACACAGTTTCCACCCAGCCCAATTTCAGATGTTTGCACAACGGCCTAGATCCTCAAAGGTATTTAGGTGCCTAATTTCCATTGGTATCAATGGGAGTCAGGCACCTAAATATCTTTGAGGATTTGGACCAAAGTGCTCACCTTTGTGTTCTTGTCTCTAGTTGTCTCTGCACTGTAGGTCTCACAGACCCACCTGAAAATAAAGGAGGACTTGCCTTCCCTAGTAGTGCTGGAAATCAGTCCTCTCTCTTGCTTCCCACCAGGAAATCCCCAAATCACCAGACCAGGGCTGAGCATAAAGTCATTGACGACAGGGTCAAACCAACCCTCATGTATGCAACACAATACTTTGAGGAAAAACAAGGACAAGCGTGAATGTGCAGATAGCTGTGGGTGAACACACAAAATTGCCATGTACCCACACTTACAAGGCACCCACAAGTAGTGAGCATATGCCTCCTAGCTCACCTTGCTGAGGGCTGAACGAGGGGGAGGAGTCAGGCACAGTGGGGTAGCAGGGGGAAGAGAATTTTCCTGGAGACTCTGTGATAAGGACATTAGGCTAAGTAGGGATTATCCTGACCCTTTATGGGCTGCACTGGGACAACAGTCACCAGATCTCAAAGAAGCAGTTCCCACTTCCGACTGGCAAAGAGGGAAGCTGTCACAAAAGGTGAAATAAGAAACGCAGCCCTGAGTCCACTGAGACAGAGCCACCCACAAGTTAATACACATATCAGACATTAAAAAACGGGGCCTCCTGATGGGAGCCCCCATCTGTTCCCAACCACATTGCTCAGGTGGGCAGGGAAAAGTGTCACGTTAACAAAGTGTCAGACAGAAACCAAGGAAATACCTCAAAGTCTCTTGGACTCATGATGCCCCTTCATGTCCAAGCCTCTGAATCTTAGGGGAGTTTGACATCAAGAAGAAACTCACTTGAGCACCTTTTTCCATGCGGACTGATCCCAGACAAACTAAAGGTCTCCATCCCTGCATGGGCGGTGGGTATAATAGGTCAGGGGAATCCCTGCCTTCCCTGAAGCCATTCATCAAATAGAAATCTTTACAACAATAATCCAGTGCCAGGAAACAAAGATAACTTTCTTTTCAGCGTACCATCGAAGCTGCTAATTCTCATGCCATTGATCCCCAAGCCCAGTAACTCTTACCAAAAAAACCCCACAAAGACACCCGAGCGCACTCTCCCCACTTCTCAGCAAAGCCTGATGAGCCAAAGCAGGGCTGGGGGGCAGGCTCCACCCTCCTCAGATATCGGGGACTTGTAGAGTATAGACCAGGGAACATGTGCTAATATACTATGACATATTATCATACATAATTAAAACTACACTTGTCAAATACTTAAGGGCAGGTCAGTCTGCGATGCTGCGGCCTTGACTGGAGGGTTATTTCATGGTGTTCATTTGCTTTCTTGCTAATTCAGAAAATTTATTACCAGTCTGCAATGAGTCTCCCAGTCAGCCATGAAAAATATAAGCAAGCAGAAGTCATTCACACACGTGTCCCATTTAGGGGGTCGCTGGCCACAATTTACCCCCAAGGGTTGGGGGGGAGCCTGAGAAAGCGAAGGTCTCATATCTGTTCCCCCACCACTAGACCTTGTTCAAACCTCCCATTTTCTGCCCTGCAAAGTTGCCAGGCAGGACTGAGTGTTAAGCACTTACCTGGAGGATGACACAGAGTCTGCAGTCCCAACTCGCCCAGCTTCAGATGAATTAGAAACACATAAGAAGGGGGAATGAAATGGTGCCCTGCCCGGGACACTCACCAGAAGCCTGGTCTTTCCTGCCCGCAGGCTCTTCTTTCTCCTCTCAAGAGGAAAATGATGTGTTCCCTCCCCAGCCTGCTCTCTCTCTCTCTCTCTCTCTCTCTGCTGCAGACTCTCTCTCTCTCTGGCATTGGCTTCCTCAGTACTGTACTACATCTCTCCCTCCTCAGTGCCAGAAGTAAGGGAGCTGAGCAGCTCCAAGCCCAGCCTAATTAAAGGGCCATACGCACTGGTCTGGCAGCAACTGGGAGGGGATGGAGCCTGCTCTGCATGTGCTGTCTTGTTTCTCAGGGGGATGGTGAACCTTGTCAGAGGTACTTGAGGGACAGGCAGAAAAGCAGTAGGGAGCTACAGACTTACACACACAACAAGCAGATTACAGCAGAGACAAGTCTGATCCTTTTGATCCCCGTCTGCAGGCCCAGCTCAGAGGTGTCAGGACAAATGCCTGTTAGGCGGAGGAGGTGAAATCCCAACATATTGCTCATGGTGTGCACAACCCTGGCTCTCATCTACCTCAGACAACAGAGTACCCAGTCCCACCCAGGACTCATTTACCAATTTACCCTGCCCATAATCCCAGCATTACACTGCAACCCACTACCCAGATCAAATCCCTCACCTCAACTGACTGAACTCTCTCACTTAATTATACTAGCCCCAAACTTCACAGAGGCAAGAATCTAGACAAGCCCTATTGAAGTATTAACACACAATCTTGTGTCACAATACCAGAAGTAGGTCTCAGTTCCCACGGAGATCCTCATTATAGCAAAACTGCACCGCAACTAACCATCAGCACTAGGAAAGGATTGCACAGAATGACAACAGACTCCATAGACTGTCCCAAAACTCAAACTCCAAAAGCTATTTGGAGGTTCAGTTCAACATTTTAAAGCATTTATTGTGAGCCTCTGCACTTCCTGCTTTCATCAGAGTGAAATGCCAGCCCAGAGGCAAGCAGGATAGCAGAATCTCTAGGGAGAGCCCAATCTCATAAGAACATAAGAATGCCTGTGCTGGGTCAGACCAATGGTCCATCTAGCCCAGTGGCCTGTCTTCTGACAGTGGCTAGTGCCAGATGCTTCAGAGGGAATGAACAGACCAGGGCAATTTTGAGTGATCCATCACCTGTCATCCAGTCCCAGCTTCCGGCAGTACGAGATTTAGGGACTCCCAGAGCATGGGGTGGTGTCCGTGACCATCTTGGCTAATAGCCATTGATGAACCTATCCTCCATTAATTTGTCTAATTCTTTTTTTAACCCAGTTATACTTTTGGCCTTCACAACATCCCATGGCAACAAGTTCCACACTGCGTGTTGTATGAAAAGTACTTTTTTTTGTTTGTTTTAAACCTGCTGCCTATTAATTTCTTTGGGTGATCCCTAGTTCTTGTGCTATGTGAAGGGGAAAATAACACTTCCCTATTCACTTTCTCCACACTATTCATGACTTTATAGACTTAAATCATACCACCTACCCCCTTAATCATCTCAGGAGATGCAAGTTCACCCAGGAGGGGAAGAAGGACAAATCTTGTGGAAAAGGACCCAGTCTGAGATTCCAGCCTAGAAGAGAGCAGCCAGGAAGGTCTGGAAATTTCCATTCCAACCAGGATCAGTTAAAACAGGCAAAGTTTTGGATAGTTTTCTATACTGAACTCCCATTTTATGGGCTTCTCTGTCACTGTGTTATAGCCCTGCCTATGCGGTTACCTCCTCTTTGTAGAGCTGCTTATACATAATAACCACTATCCTTTTTCATAACACTGAATCCACTATTGTAGTCATCATTTATCCAGAGCTGAACAGATATAAACATGTAGATACTGGGAAAGAAACGGAACACATAGGTGAATGGCAACACATATGGGCGGAGCTCAGATTTCCTCTCCGGGCACAAAAGGCAGAGGTGAAAGTAAGCCGGTACAGTATGGCGTACCTGCAAAAGCCAGTACGCCATGCCAGACTGGACCGGCTTCTCCAGGGGTGATTTAAAGGGCCCAGGGCTCCAACTGCTGCGGGGAGCCCCGGGCCCTTTAAATCAGCCGGAGCTCTGGCAATTTTGTGTGTTCACCCACAGCTATCTGCACATTCACGCTTGTCCTTGTTTTTCCTCAAAGTGTTGTGTTGCACATGTGAGGGTTGGTTTGACCCTGTCGTCAATGACCTTATGCTCAGCCCTGATCTGGTGATTTGGGGATTTCCTGGTGGGAAGCAAGAGAGCGGACTGCTTTCCAGCCAATATCCTCAAGTGTAACTACACCAGTTCAATGCGACCTTTGGATTCCCTTAAACTGGGGGAATCCCCAATTGGCCAGTTAACCTGGTTTTCCATCAGCTTTGTAAGGCCTAAGCAGTGCAAATCAAGATGGATGGGAATCAGGATCTGGGCCTTTATCCCTGGCTCTCACATCTTTTGTCCTGGGCTTTGTGAACTGAATTGTCCCAAAGGAACATGCCTGACTTAGTGGGTTACAGATGGGGAGGTGGTCATAGATGTAGTTGAGTCCTCATCCACTGATGGCCCAAAAGATCTTCACCAGTACTTTTACCTGCATTATCATTGGAAGCAGACTGGAATGCAGAGGGAACAGAGGATGAGGATCATGTGCTCATGGCAATCCATCAAGTTAAGTAGCCTAGTGGCCATATTCTGCACAAGCTGGAGTTCTCAGTGTTGCTTTCATTTTCAGCCCCAAAGATACGAAATTATGCTAATCCAGCCCAGAAATGACAACGTCCTAATCAGGATAGGGAGGAAGAGACAAAACTTTCTAGCAAGCTGCCTCATTGTGTTAATGAGTTGAATATGAGCCTGAGGATTTGTTGTACTTGGCAAATAGTGTAGAGAAACCTTCTATCGAAGAGGAGGACAGGGTCCTTGCTTGTTCCTCTAAGCATTTTTCCTTTTCAGACTACATTACTTTGGTCTCACCTGGATAGTTTGAACCAACTGTTCTTCATCCAGTTACTAATCTCCTGTAGACATCACAACATCCTTGTGATGGCACTGAGAGTATCTGTGGAAAATGAAATGTAAAGCTGAGTGTCACTGGTATATTACAGGAACCAATCCCTGTAACAAACCCCATTGCCTACTCTGTCCCCATATCTACTCTAGTGACACCATCATAGGACCCAACCACATCAGCCACACTGTCAGAGGCTCATTCACCTGCACATCTACTAATGTGATATATGCCATCATATGCCGGGGTTGCCCCTCTGCCATGTACATTGGCCAAACCGGACAGTCTCTATGTAAAAGAACAAATGGACACAAATCAGACATCAGGAATAGTAACATACAAAAGCCAGTAGGAGAACACTTCAATCTCCCTGGACATTTAACAACAGATATAAAAGTAGCCATCCTGCAACAACAAAACTTCAAAAACAGACTTCAAAGAGAAACTGCAGAGCTACAGTTCATTTGCAAACTTAACACCATTAACTTGGGCTTGAATAGGGCCTTGGAGTGGCTGGCTCACTACAAAAGCAATTTTCCCTCTCTTGGTATTGACACCTCCTCATCAATTATTTGGAATGGACCATATCCACCCTGATTAAATTGGCCTTGTCAGCCAAACCAGCTTTTGGTTTCTAGGATGGGGTATCTTCTCTATCTTCTGTATTTGAGGCTGAAGGGGAACAAGACTGCTATTCTGCCTTCTCTTTCCTTTTTACCCTTTCCTGGGAACCTTCTCAGTTTGTACTGAGTATTTTGAGGGAATTAGGGGAACTACAATGGGACAACAGATAATTTTAAACAGATGTTACTGGTGCATGCAAGATCTGGTGTCCCATCCAAAACCAGATCACAGATGGTGCTGGTTTTGTTGGTGACCAATCTAGCAGTCATCAGCATGAGTTGCTCTCCTGTGTGCTAATTCTCTACAGTTCATATACTGCAGTATGTCATCCTGGAGAGTACACATACTTCTGTAGGCTACCCTACACAGTGTATGTTCTGCAGCATACCACTTCCTACAATGTATATACTGCAGTATTTAATCTCCTGCACTGTTTGCATATGTATATATTGCAGCAAGTTAACACTCATAGTTATGTTTGCTAACCCTAAAGTATCTACATTGCAATATGCCACCAAATGACTCCCAGCAAAGGCAGAGGTATACCAAATACACACCTGGAGGGCATAGACAAACAGCATCTACACCACTGTCTGGATATGTGGGGTATATAATTTATCATAGGCAGGGCTGGTAGCACTACCTATTATTAAAGTTGCCCGACACTTCCCATTATAAAACCCTGTTTATAGTTATCATTTTGCTAAACTTTAACATTCACAGTGAAATTTTCCATGCCACGTGTCTGCCTCAAAATGGTTGAGCTGTTTCTGAGAACGAGGTGGGAGAAAAATATGCTGTTTTGCCCATATCAAAAAATGCTGGCAACCTTTTCTTTGAACAGCACCCCCATGTTTTGGAGCAGGGACTTGAAGTTTGGCAGATGGGAGTGGCCTTTTGTCAGGGATGGGTCTTTTGCCATCCCTGTGACACTTGACTCAACCCAAATTTTACCAAGTTAGAAGCCTTAAAATAAATCACAGTTCATGTATGCTCAGTCAAGGCTTCTTAGATTTTAGCAGCTAAAGTCCCCAGAGAGTCCAACCACACTGAGCATACTCCAGCCTAAGGTTGAACAGGATTTTCCCTGCAATTGCAGCTCTGAGCTGTGCTGGGTTTGGGCACCTGAACTGAGAGCAGGAAGACTGTCTCTTCTGTGCTCTCAGTGCCTCCTCTCCTTGTCCAGGCAGCATGGAAGAGGAAGCTGCCTGAAACAAAGGCAGAGAGGACAAGAGCCATACCTGCGGGTGGATGTGGGAGTAGATTGGGATAAGGAGCCTGGGGAGGGTGAGACTGGAATTGGAAGCTGGTGTGGGAGATAGGGAATCTGGAACTGGTAGTTCACGGTAGGAAGAGAAGGACTGGCCGGGAAAGGAGACTGAAACTGGGACCTATAGCAGAGACTGGACCAAACTGGTCAAAGAATCTGGGTCTGGTTGGGTAAGAACCTGGGGCCGGAAACCAGGAAGGGAAACAAGGAGTGGGAGCCAGGAGGTAGCGACTGGCTGAGCAAGGAGACTGGTACTCAGAACCAGTAGAGCAGCATAAGGAAGTGAGGGG